TTTTTCCACAGCGCGATATCCGCTTCGTCTGCTAAAACGTCTAAGGGAGTTACAGTTGAAGTAAAGGGGATGTTCTGTTTCAACAAGTCTGCCTTCCATGCTCCCTATAAGAAAAAATACAATACACTAACATGTAAACATGCGCGCACAACTAGAGCACAAAACGGCAGACAGACAGCACCAAATAGAGATTTTACCTGCGATTCGGGTTCATCATGCAGTATTGCTTAACAAAGGATAAAATAAGTAGAAATATACACACACATATACATACAGTATATATATATATATATATATATATAGTAACTATCCACAGACACCCAGTAAACAAGTGTAAACAATTTTCAGGCGTAATGAGTCAGAGAACCAGGAACCATAAACGACAAACAGCCAAAACTATTACGTGCTAGTAAGGAATCGATTAGGACACACATATGTGTTAAGGATGTATATATATATATATATATGTAATACAGTAATAATGGTTAGGCATATATATGTATATATGTATAGTGATATAAATGTGGCACACCTCTCAATGTTAGCGGCCATTCATTAGTGTATTTGCTGCCGAGCGTGAGTCCGACGCTTATTGACAATTATTATAATCAAGATATGTATAATTACTATAAGATATATCGCCCTTGCTTGCTGCAACTTATTAACCTACTGCTTCCCAACAAGACAGAATCTGCATCAGCGTTGCTTCCAGCAATTAATACAATTGAAATGCACTATTCAAATGGTTTTAATCACCTCTATGAGGTCGACGCGGAAAGGAGCTGAGAAAGCTCCTGCATAGGAGACGAAGGCTGCAGCGAGGAGATAGTCTCCGATGACTGTTAGCTTTGAAGATTCGAGTTCATTCATTGATTCATTCCATCTTTTGTTTTCGTCTGCTAGTCCATTTACAAGCCTCTCTGCTAAGTCCAACTTCAACTGGCATTCTGTCGCTTGAGCCACCACACCCTGCCGCTCCTCGTCAGCCTCTTGCATCTTCTGCTGCAGCTTTGCTACCTTCTCTAAAATATGCACAAAACACACGCTTGTTTCTGTTCCTCATGATGCTGCTGCTGCTGCTGATGTTGCTGCTGCTGCTGATTGTGATGCTGCTTCTGGTGTTGCTGTTGCGGCTGGTGCTGCTGATTCTTCAGGTGCTGCAGGTGCTTCAGGTGCTGCTGATGCTTTGCATGTTGTTGACGCTTCTGGTGTCGCTGGTGCTGGTGCTGATACTGCATCGGGCGCTGCTGGTGCTGCTGGTGATTCCGATCCTGCCGTTGTTGCTGATTCCGACGCTGGTGCCGTTGCTAGTGCTGGTGGTGCTGCTGCCGTTGCTGGTCCTGTTGGTGCTGCTACCGTTGCTTATTTTCCTGCTGCTTCCTTGTTTGCTGGTGCTGCGACTGGAGCTAGTGTTGGTCTTTGTGAATGGCTTTTCTGCCTTAGCCCAATTGTTCGTTATTTTGAAAAATAAATCTCAGCACTAGAGAGAACGACAGCAGCAATAGAGGGGAGCAGAAAACGAAGTGTGCTGCTGTTCTGCATAAAACGATCCTTTAAAGAAAATCCCGTTCAAATGAGCCAACGAAACAATTATTTAGGGCAATTATTCCACACAAAGAGCAACTATACACTTCTCCGCACGTACACACCCACGCACCCCAGTGCATATGGGCTATTTATTGGGAAAACAAGTACTCCACACCTCATCAATGGTAAAGCCGAGAATTTTCAAAGCAGTACTGATGCACATGTTGCATGGCCATTACAAATACGCATATCTTATATATATATGTATATATATGTATACGTATATGTATGTATATCCCCAGACCCAAAACCCTAAATACCGAACCCCAAACATCTCACCGTTGATTTCTCTAACTCGTTCTAGGACTTGAGCGAGATTGGAGTCGGCTTTGTTTTTGGATTCCGTTGCCTCTGCGAATTTGTCCATTAGTGGTTTTACCTTGCGGTAGATGGTGTTGTAAGTAACGATGTTGACGACCCAATTTGCAAGAAAAGCAGCAGCTAAAGACTTTCCCTTCATCACTTCAAAGTTGAAAAAAGGCTGCGAAATTATCGGAGTTATGGCGTTCACCGTTTCCTCCGTCATATTCTCCGCATCAAAAGCTCGCACCTGAAAAACCACCGCAAGCCCTAAACCGTAAACTGTAAACCATAAACTTTAGCCCCTAACTGCGAAGACCAAAGAATGGGGAACCCAAATTATTGGCCAAAAAACAACATTGGCCCTTAAATACAGGGCCCAAAACTTAGAAAACCCAATTGCAGTATGCTCTCATTTTTGCCCTCACGAGAGGTCGATCTTTGAAAATTATCTGCTGAAAGGAAATGGTGTTGCAAGCAACAAGAGTTACCAACAGGAAACCAAGAAGAGAAAGTTAAATATCATACTTATAGTTTATTTATCATATTCTAGTAATAACGATACGGCTGTATGAGCAACCACAAAATGTAAAGTTTCTTTGCTAAAAATCCGCCGGAGTTACTGCTTAACAGACGATACAATGTTCAAAATGCTATAATGGTACAAAATAATGAACCGGAAACAAGAAACTGCATTATTCTTTAGAGTTGTTAGACGTGCGTTTAAAACTTCAGTTCATACATACGCTGTCAATACTGCCACTTTAAAAGCATTGTTTCACGGTTTAGGGTTGAAGGTTTAAGCTCTGGGTTTTTGTCTTACCTGGTCCAGGAACTTTGCAGGATCGCTCATCATTTTTTGTGCTGCTTTCCACTCGGTGTTTTTTGTCTCTCCGCGCATTATAAGAACAGCTTTTGTGACTTCTAAACATTCTGCAGGCGGCTTAGGAAGCGACTTCAACTCCTGTGCAGTGTACACACACTAGGACAGTTAGGGAGGCTTAAAATGCAGCCATGCAGCGTTCACATGCGTGTGCAGGCAACAAGAGAGGAGAGTCAGTTTAAAGCGTTTGCCGTATATGTATGTGAATGTATATGCAGACAAATCAATAGATGCATGCAAATATTATATGCGTGATATATAATATATATATGTATATATATGCATATATACATATGCATATATATATATATATATATAT